GCAGCTTGAAAGAGGGCAGTGAGAAGGGAGAAGCAAGCCGCTGTATAGTTTATAGTGAGGAAAGAGGCCAGGTGGTCTGGTCCAATAAGAAAGGAGATGCTGCCGACGTGACCGTGCCTGCTCCAGCTGACTGCAGAGCTGCAAAGGACTTCCTTGCAAGATCCTGACCTGCTGCACCTACCTGGGTTTTACCTGGACTCTCAGGACTTGCGCCTTTTCTGGACAATTACATGGAGGCTGGTGACAACGTACCGCACACCCTGAAGGAGACAGCTGCTGTGTGAGCATGGCAACTTGGGTACCTTCCAGAGGGGCTGGAGAACCGTTTGCACAGCCGGCTTAAGATAAGAACATGAGGATGCCTTGCCCTGTACTCCGGCGGGGAGCATGAGAAGTGCTGGGTCTCACGGGGAAGGAGGGCTCCGAGGCTAAGGTGGTCTAAGCTCTGTCCAGGTTGGACTCTTGTAAATCAAGACCTGTTTCTGCCGGCTTTAATTGTTGGGTCGTTCACCAGGGCGCCACGTGGACGGGCCCCAGTCTGCTCCGTAACACTGCATTGTACCATTGCCTGATGGTAAGTGGTGGCTCCAGGCCCACCCTGCCCAAGCACCCCAGCAGCCAGTATTTGGTTTGTGTAGGCACAGCTCAAGGGAATCACTGTGGTCAGTACAGCTCAGCCTGGAATCCAGGCCCTTGGGAATGTGAACCCCTCACTCACCATGGCTCCATAGTCAGCAAAACATCCCAGGGGAGGGAGTTTCATAGGCTACAGATGGCATGTATACAGATGGCGTGCATGCGGAGGGCAGACAGGTCTTCCTTCTCTGTGGGAGGGAGGGTGTCATCCACTAGACAACCCACTGGCCGTTCTCAAATGGTTAGTACCTGAGGAAATGGCATCTGACCACCAGGAACTTTCCTTCTATTCCCTTTATGCCCCCAAATAAAATAGGATGGGAGGGTTTTCGACTTCAGTGTAACTGTCTGAGAAACCAGCCCAGCCGTGCTGGTCGTGGTCCTGTCCGTTAAGCTACTGCACACCGTGACCCCGGAGGCCACCTGCGCCTAACAAGCCTCATTCCAAGGTGAGACGTATGTTGTCCAGCAGAGCCTGGAGGAGCTCCAGGGTCACATTTATGGGCACCTAGGGTCACTTCATGACCTGGCCAGGCCCACATAGCTGTCCTGTGCTAGTGTGCTGGCACCCTCCGAGATGCCTGCGGGCCTCCTGGGCACAGCTTGTGTAACATGAGAAACATGGGCACCAGGCAGGGGGCAGGTGCAGGACTTAGCTGTGAGGGAGAGCTCATATTGGGGTTTCCTCTGGGCCAGAGCTGTTATAGCTGACGGTCCAGGAAGGCCCACCTTGTCCATTGTGCAGGACTTTGCCCTGGGGACAAGCACTCTCGGAGTGCTGAGAGTGTTTCATCTCAGCTGTCTCCCAGCCACCACAGTGTCCTGCAAGAGCTCTTGTGGGTAAAGTAGGCTCCACTCCTCCGCTGTCCGTCACTCCGGACAATGGTCAGCAGGGGTGCCTTGGCCTTGCTAGTGATAACCTAAAATAGAAAGACTTTTTTGAGTGGCAGCCACCAAACATTTATTGAAATCACTAAGAATAGCTATTCGGGAATCATTAATTCAGGCAGAACCCCAAATAATGTTCTGATTAGGAGACACAGTAGGTATTTATGAGAAAGAGAAGAGGAACCATTACATCAGTAAAACACAGGCATTTCTAGTGGTGCAGATAACATAACATAGTGATGTTAATTCTAAACAATGTTTTGTTACAGGTTTTACTTCTTTATTTTTAGAGGAGAAAGGAGGGAGAAAGAGAGGGAAAGAAACATCAATATGTGGTTGCCTCTCATGCACCCCCTACTGGGGACCTGACCCACAATCCAGGCATGTGCCCTGACTGGGAATCGAAACACCAACCCTTTGCTTTGCAGGCCGGCCCTCAGTCCACTGAGCCACACCAGCCGGGGCTAAACAATGTTTTTAATTTTCAGTCCAGTAGTCATAATAATGCTTTACTGTTATCCTTCCAAACAGTTCACTGGGACGCAAGTGTGCTTCGCCCAGTTCAAAGGTCACTTTGCCCTGCCTTAACATCCCAAGCTTTGAGGCATCAGGTACGCAAGGCAGTGCCTCTGGCCTGAAAGCTGCGGCTCCGTTCTAAAGCGGCTCTGTTTATATTACTGTTTACACTAGAAATGCACTGGGGCTGCGGAGTCCTATCTGAGTCCCTCTGTGCCTGTATCCCTCTGAGTCCTTCTATGCAGGGACAATTCAATTATCTTTTCCCATGGTGGCTCCTCCTTATGACACCCCACCTCCTGTCTCACAACCCCTGAGTCTTCACGAAGCTGCGCTTGCCATCTGCACTGTTTCCGTTCTCTTCGGCAACTCTGAGGTCCCCAGCTCGGATGCTCCGCTCCACAGAAGCACCCACTTACAAGCCAAAGTAAGCGAAGGCCACCACCCAGTGGGGTCCTTCTGTGGGCTGAGTGGAGATGATCAGAACGAGCCACCAAGCCTACATCTTCTCTTGCTACCCATGCATCCCATGGCCATCCCGAGGTGCAGGACAGCCCGGGGAGCCATTCCAGGTCACCACAATTAGGAAGGGATGAAAAGGTGGAGGGGGGTGTTGCAGAAATATTAGGAGTGAGGACTCTGCAAAGGCGTCCCTGTTAATTCAACCGCCTCCTTCCCTGGTACACCCGTTTCCTGCGGTGCCCAGCCCAAGAAACATTCCTCCCCCTTCCTGAGCCCACGCCTGACACCTACAGACCTGCTTTTTTCTTATGGGGCAAGTCTGACTCGGAACTGCCTGGTCCCGGGCCTGCCAGTGACGGCAGCAGGTGCCAATGGGGACTCCCTTATGAAACACTTAGGAGATTCCACCAGGATGCCCAGAATATTAAACATGGGGGGCGGGTAGGGCAGGGAGAGTAATGGAGTGGGGGGAAATGGGGACAACTGTAATTGAACAATTTAAGATTTTTAAAAAAACAGTGAACCCCATAAAAGGTCAACCTTTATTTTTCCATCAAGCAGTTGGACATCTAAGTCAGTAGTAGCCGGTGAAGCTGAGACATTCAGATTCCAGTCCCACAGGAGGCAGAGAACCCTAATGTTGGAGGACGGTGAACACGATCCCCCAGGGAGGTGGGGGCTGGGGAGTGTCAGGTATTGCCTGAAGTCTGCATGCAGCCCACAACTGGTCTGTGGTCTCACATTTTCTCTTAAACATTTATGCTATGCCATTCATTTTTGAAACTTGTTTAGCAATTGTAATTGCTTTAAATTGCTCACCTTGGAGTAAAATCAATATGCCTGGGAGGGACCTCAGAATGATTCTCAGGTGTGCACCCTAGGAAGTCTCCCCTCAGGCCATGGAGGAGCAGGTTTGAGCTGTCCTATCTCCAGGGAGGTGGAGAAGGCAGGGTCACCTTGGGGCTCCCGGGACAGAAAGGAGCTGCCAGGGGATAATAGGGCCCACAATTTCAGGACCGCTGTCAATTTTGAACCCACACTTCTCTGTTCAGGTCATAAGCTCATTTTTTTGCTTGTGACCTGCCAAATATCAAAATTATCTCAGAACCCAATCCTTACATCATTTCACCTTTATTTAGATGGAAATAATAGTGCTGTTATTGCTAATTCACAGGGGTTTGGATAGACTCAGTCTTCAGAGGAAAGGGACTGCTAGTTTCAGTTTCTCCGAACACGCAGCAAAACCTAGTTCTAAGGAGACAGTGATACCACACTGGCCCACTTAGAGGGAAGTACGGACGTGGCTGGAGCCACGCTGGGGAGGAAAGGGCTACCCAGCCCATGGTAATGGGGACACTTGGGTGCTAAAATGAGAAGCGTGATGGCAGTCCCTTGGTTTGTGTCCACACGGTGTGTCTGGGGCTGGACGGTCATGGGAGAGAGGCATGAGCTGGTTTCAGAGGGCACAGGGAGTGGGATGCTGTCCAGCAGTAACCAGGATACCAGGCAAATCAGTCCTCGTTCCGCTGTGCATGCAGATGCTGGTTGCTAACCTCCCCTGAAGTGGAGCCCAGGGCTCCCAATGAAGGGCTGTGGGTGATGGTGGCAACGACGGGCTGGGACCGGCCATGCAGCCCTGGGCCAGCTCCTTCCTCCTTGGGCTGCACAGGGACCGGGGGCTTCCTCAGGGGCGTTTCTCATGGGGAGCCTGTAGACCCTTGAGTGTGGCCCAGATAGACTTTCTGTGTCCCCAGTGGCCCCCTTCTCTTTCTCGCCCCCTATAAACCTCACCCCTGAACCCATTCCTTCTCCTCTTCCCACCCCCTTTTCCAAGCACTCACTGCCTTTTCTATAGAAATCATCAAATCTCATCTCCAGTGATCCACCTGGATGCTTACAAACTTTGTAGGAAGACTCAGGAGTCCACAGATGTCCCACTGCTGAGCCCAGTCCCTGAGGTTCTACTAAGTGGGAGAGGGGGTCCACCTCGCCCAGTCCCTAAAAGGTGAAATATTGTCACCAAGTGCCATGAAGACTACACAACTGTGCAACTGCAGGGGGTATGACTGCCATCCTCTTTACTCACCTGGGACACAAAAGGACAAGAACTCAAGAAGCAAGACATACATCCAAGTGCTTGACCCCTGTAAGGTGCTGGTGGGCCCCCAAACACATGTCTGTCCACAGCCTGAGTTCCAAACCAACTAACAGACAAAAAGTTGAGACAAAAGGGAATCAAAATACCAGCTTTCATCCTGATAAAAGCTGAGTCAGAAAACATGGTTCAGATGTGTGCACCCCCCCCCAAAATTCCTAAACCTGCCCTTCAGAACTGGGCTTAGCCACAAGACCTCATGCTCCTCCAATCAAATACACACACACACACACACACACACACAGTCTGCTCTCCCTGTGCACTTGAACTTGGAGGAGCACAGAGCCTAGGCCCCTCTAGCAAGATGAGGCCCAGGGAGACCCACCAGGGAGCAGACTCACCTTTCACAGAACTCCCAGCCTAAAAGTGTCTCCACAAGAAGGGAGGGCAGGGGGACCAGGAGCCCTGCTGGTTGATGGGCCACCTCCTAGAAGGGGACACTGGTGCATGGCCTGGGTGTTCCCTGTTGGAGCCCAGGTGCCCCTCCCTCTCCACTCCTGCATCCAGGGGTGCCTCGGGGCTTCATCCTCTGGCCCAGTGGCTGCTGTTGCTGCTGCTGCTGCTTCCTGCTGCCTGTGACTCCTCAGGTCCCCTCCTCAGTCACTGCTCCTGCTTTCCAGGTTTTCAGCTCCTCCTGTAGCTCGGGCTACTTCCTTGTTTTTGGTGTCTTTGCACAAACAAGGGGACTCCTGGAAGCTGATCCTGTTCATGGCTGGGCGTCCCCCACCCCTGGCCCTCCAAGTCCTGACTGTCCCTCCTCGTCTTCCATTCCTGCTGCCACATGTCCTGATGGCTGAGAACCACGTCTGACTGCAGGAGGAGGGAGACATGTCTGACAACTCTCGGAAAGTTACTTTCACTTCTATTTTCCCCTTTTGGGTGGAGCCCTGTCTGGGTGAGCCCGTTACACACTTCCTGCTCATGGCTGGGCAGCGACACTGGAACCGGGCTGGGGACACAGGAGGGATGGAAGACCAGGCTCCAGGCCCAAGCAGGGCCCAGGGCAGGATCATGGCCAGTGGGGGCAGCAACCTCTGCACCAGGTCAGTGTCTTTCTCCCTTCCTTTAACTTTCTCTCCGGCTCTGCTGCTGCTTTGGTGCCCGTCATTAGACACTCCGTCTAAACCACTGGCTTAGTCCTGCTTCACACGTACACTCACGTGCAGTGTAACAAAATGCAGAAATATACGATGAGGAAATCGGACCTCTCACCTGCAGAGGGACAGCCGCTGGTGTGAGCGCAGCGGCCACGGCCCCCTGCTGCTCAGCTGATTGCCCGTCTGGACTCGGCTGTGCTTCTTAATGCTTTGAGGCAGCAATTTGTTGTTTTCTCATAACTTTTGAACCCTCTTGTTTGCCTCAGGCCCCCTCCACCTTCACCTGCGTCATTTCAAAGAGGGTGCGTTAGAACTTAGAAAACGCAGGGTAAACACATGGCTTGTTTTCAAACAGTGGGTGCCTTGGTCTCATACCTGACCTGGGGACAGGTCAGCACTGGGCCTATTGCCGCGTCTGTTTGGGGGTCTGGCTTCTTCCTCCAGGGGTCTTGATCTAGAGAAAGCGGGGGACCAAGCCTCCAAACACCAGAGCAATCCAAGTGTTTTCATTTGTACTTTGATTTTCTGCTCTGGAGTGGCTTATACTTCTGACCAGGAAAAAGCCAGAGATCTTATCTTTTTTTCCAGTAATGGGTCAGAAATGTTTACTTTTTTAATACAACAGAATTATATTTTATATTCTTGCTCATGAAGTTTCCAACGGTGTGTGGAGGGAAGAAGCGCCACCCCGCCCCCTGCAGCTCCGTCCTGGTCCTGTGCACTGCTGTGGGCACAGCCTTCCTCGCCTTTTTCTGTATGTTTAACAGACGTAACTTATTTTCCTAAATACATGCTTTGTGTCTCACTTTTCAACAAATGGGATTATATTGTATATGCCATTTGGCATTTGCACTTATTTGAACAGCAAATATATCAGAAATCTTTTCACTTTAATAAATGTATTAATCTCCCTCATTCTTTTTAACAGCTGCATACTACTCCATGGAATCAATATAACATAATTTTTTAAACCATTCTCTTCCATTGACAGGCACTTAGGTCATTTATATATTTTTCTATTTTTTGCATATATATGTGAATTTTTCTTGTGTTAATAACCAAAAAAATCGAATCATTGAGGCAAAGAATACTAATACTGACTTGTTTATAGATTCTGCCAGGCTGCTTTTCTAAGTAGCCTAACCAATATATTCTCTTAACGATAGTGAATGTGATGAACTCACTTCCCAACACCCATTTTTGCAAAGGTGCTACATAAACAGATTTATTTAGTTAATTTGCATTCTCTGATTACTTGGGGATTGAATAGGTTTTCGTGTCCATTATCCATTTAAATTGCCTCTTCTGTGAATTGGTTTATTTTTGGCCAATGTTATCAGTTGGTGTGAGTGTCCTTTCTTTGATGATAAAAGAGCTGGCTAAATATTCTGAAAGTTATAAACAGAGTTTCCTTTTCTTAAATGTTGTTTGTGGTGACTTCTATCTTATGAAAGCTTTCAAATGTAGAGTAAAAACTTACAGTACTGATTTTATAAGATAGATGCACCCTGTTTGTTACAAATAAATAAAGGCAATGCTAAAAGTTACTGATGAATTCCATGTGCTCTGTCTTTAATCAGAGTTCCTGTGTTCAAAGGGTGGCAGATTCAATTCTACTTTTATTTCAGGGAAGGCTTCTTTTCCAGTGTCTTCAAAAACATATTCTTTTTTAATTTGGGGGCAAAACTCTTCTTCCACTGGAAGACTCAATCTATTTCACCTTCACAGATTTAGCTGGCCCTGGTACATCATCTCTCTAGCTTTTTACTTCCTGTTCATGATGGTTGTCTCAAACCTTTCTTCTATGCAAGTTATGTAATTTTGTGTCATTTTTTTTGGTTTCTCGTTAACTTTTTATACAGTTGATTGTGTTTATTTTTGAAGGAGGGGATCATAATTTCCTTCCACAGCTCTGCAAACTGAACTTTAAACCACGTTTTGTTACTAAATCAGCCCATCTGAGCACTGTTGCTTTATTTATGCAGGTGTTTCTGTGACATTAAGTGCTTTGGGGACATTTTCTTCATTCCCTGGGTTTTTCCCACAGGTTGACCCCGCCTGCAGGTTGGTGTCTGTGTTCCTGCACTTCCTTTCCTCCTGCCTGCCGTGGTTGCACAGCCCACCTCACTCATTTTGACCTTTGCACCATCCTCATCTGGGTGAATTCTTTTTCACATCTCCTGTCTTACCTGAGACTGGATTTCTTGGCATCTAATGTACAGTTGGAAGGACTTACCACTCTTCTGGCCAGTGTTTCTGAGGCGCCATGTTTGGGTAACCACCCTTCTGCCCTCCGTTCTGCTCCGCTGCCCTTTCATTCCCCAGGGCCACCTGGGCGAGGTCTGCTCCGCGCGCTCTCTCCCCCGCCACTGGCCGGGAGAGCCCCTCCTGTGCCGCACTCACTGTCACAGTGGTGGCGGCTTCAGAGGAACTTTGACGTCGGGCAGAGCGCACCTTCCCATCTCTCCCCTGCTTCAGAGTGCCCTGGCCCTTTGCATGTCCAAACCAGCCTCTCAAAATCCTGTTGGGATGTATTTTTTAGGATTGTAATGAATCGATGGATCAATCAGAAGAGAATTGACATCTTTATAATATTGTGTCTTCTCTCTTATTAATATGGTATATGTATACTATTAATTTAAGATATTTTTGGATAAAATTTTTTTCCCTTAGAGGTCATATACTTCTGCTAGATAAGTTCATGGATACTTGATATTATGATACTATTAGGCTATTAAATCTACATAATTTAAAATGAACTTTCTAGCTGCTTCTAGCTACTAAGATATAAAAATAAATTAAAACTTTGCCAAATTCTTTTTAATTCTGGTGACATATGGATATATATATGTAGATATATTAATTTACATAATGTATTCATAATGACAGTTCTGTTTCAACAAATCTAATCTTTACACTTATTATTTCTTTTTCTGGCCTTATTGTGTTGGCCAGAATTGCCAGGATTATGGTGAACACGAGTAATGATAGTAATCACCTGTGTCTTAAACTTAATCCCAAAGAGAAAGCTTTTTTCATTGTACAATTATGGAAGCTATTTGTTGTAGGTTTTCTTTTTTAATAGGAAAACTTATACAGATTAAAGAGGTTTTTACAGTTGGCATCTGATATTTTCAATGTATGAGGTATTCCTATCCCTGTTTCCTACTTTTTCTGCTGTTCTCACTTACAAAGATTTTTTAAATAAACTACTGTTTTTATATTCACAGAAAAATTGCAAAGACACTACACAAGTTTTCGTATACTACACATTCAGTTTCATTTTCTGTGGTGTTAACCTTTTACACTACTGTGGTACATATTCCAAAACTGAAAAACCAACATTGTTACATCAGTGTCAATTAAACCACAGACTTTTTTGTTTGTTTTTTCTAATCGTGATTTTTTAAAATGTTTTAATTACCCCCTAACTGGTGTGGCTCAGTTGGCTGGGCACGGTGTGCAAGAGGCGACCAACTGATGTTTCTCTCTCACGTCAGTGTTTCTCTCCCTCATTTTCTCCCTTCCTTCCCCTCTCTCTAAAAATAAATGAGTGAATGTTTTTTTTAATTTTTTAAATTACAGTTTACATTCAGTATTATTTTATATTAGCTTCAGATGTATAGCACAGTGATTAGACAATCATATACTTTACAAAGTATTCCCCCGACATTTCCAGTACCCAACTGGCACCGTACATAGTTATGACAGTATTATTGACTGTGCTTCTCATGCTGTACTTTACATCCCCACGACTGTCTTGTAGCTACCAGTCTGTGCTTCCCAATCCCTCCACCTGTTCCACTCAGTCCCCCAACACCCCTCCTCTCTGGCAACCTCAACCTGTCCTCTGTACTTGTGAATCGGTTTCTGTTTTGTTTCTTTATTTTTCTTTAGATTCCATAGATAAGTGAAATCCTGTGGTATTTGTCTTTCTCTGACTGACTTATTTCTCTTAGCATACCTTCCAGGTCCGTGCTGTCACAGATGGCAAGATTTCATTCCTTTTCATGACCGAGTGATACTCCAGGGCATACATGTATCACAGTTGTTTCATCCACTCATCTACTGATGGGCACTTGGGTTGCTTCCACATCCTGGCTATTGTACATAACGCTGCAATGAGCATAGGGGCCCACATATTCTTCTGAGTTACTGTTTTGGGTTTCTTCGGTTAAATACCCAGAAGTGGAATTGTTGGGTCATGAGGAAGTTCCATTTTTAATTTTTTTGCAGAACCTCCATACTGTTCTCCACGCTGGCTGCACCGGCCTGTGTTCCCACCAACAGTGCATGAGGGTTCCCTTTTCTCCACATCTTTGCCAACACTTGTGTTTGTTCATTGATTAATGATACTCATTCTGACAGGTGTGAGGTGATACTTCATTGTAAACCACAGGCTTTTTAAATTTCACCCATCTCCCACTGAAGTCCTTATTCTGTACCAGGATTGCCTCTAAGGTACCACGCTGCCCTCAGTCATCTTGTCACCTGTTCTATCTGGTCTGTGACAGTTTCTCAGCCTTTCCTTGTTTTTCATGACCTTGACAATTTGAAAATACGGGTCAGGCATTTTGTAGAATGTCTTCCACCTTAGGTCCATCTTTATGTTTTTCTCATAATTAGACTGGGGTAATGGGTTTTATGAAAAAAATCCCCGGAGGAGAAGCGCCCTTCTTGACACATCACATCAGGGGAGACGTCAGCCCGACTCATCACCTGGGCTGTTGTCCTTGAGCATTGAGTTAAAGTGGTGTTTGCAGGATTCTCCACTGTACAATTACTGGTTTTCCCTTTCCACACTCTATTCACAAAGGTTATGTTGCATATATTGTGCTGAGGTTTGGGGTTTTTTTTGTTTAATATCAGTGTTTGGTTCTCTTTTTAAGATTTTATTTATTTATTTTTAGAGAGGGAAGGGAGGGAGAGAGAGAGAGAGAGAGAGA